TGGTGTTAGTGACCCAAGTCCAACTAGCTTAAACATAAAGGAAAACTTGTCAAAATGCAACTGGGCATGGGGGCCTAAGCAAATCCAAGGACAGAACTAGGCCTTCACTAGGGTCATGTAAGGCACGTCTGAGTCTCCATGGTTCCTCTTTTCCTCCCAGCCTGTTTCCTCTCACTGAACACGAAATGCAGCTGCCTCAAATTTGGGGGCTTTTCAGTCACAGGAGCAAGACTGATTTAAGTCTTACTACCAAATCCGGGCAAGGGCCCCAGTCTGGGTTAGGTAGCCATCCTTTGAATAAGTAGTTAGTGTGGGTAAGGAACTCCAGAGGACCAAGTGGACGAAGCTCGGGGTAGGAGAGGGTGGCCCTGGCTCACTGCCCAGAGCAAGGAGCTGCAGACAAGCCAGAAGAGGCCCATGCAAAACCAAAATCTTACCTCAGGCTTTATAAAGTAACATTATAGAACCTTTAAGGTTTGTACAAAAAGACCTTAACTTTTGAAAAGCCAGTTTGCACTTGCGAATCTTCAGATGCACCAACCATGAAAACACATACAGGGAAGTGTGAGCAGGCTGCCGAGTGGGGACCAGCCGGCCATAGGAACTCCACAGTCCAGTTCAGCTTCCAGCTGTGTGTTACCCTGGTTTTGTTCCCACTCCCCAACTCCTCTTTCCTTAGAACAGAACTCTTTTCTCCTGAAGATAGACAACATATTTCTGGGCTGGCTTTCAAGTGTGAGCTACTAAGCCCTTGCCCTCCAGGAGGCAGCGTGCACTGGTGCTGCCCAGCATGGCTGTCAACCTGTCTGCCCTCCCTGTGGCCCCTGCCACGCCTCAGTGGACTTACTATGTTTCTCTTATAAAATCAAACACGCACTTAACCTAACGTGTTTTTCACTGGTGTGCCAGTTATATTTTTACTTAGTACAAATGACAACAATTATATAATTTAAAAGATATTAATGTATCAAACACACACCACTATGTTAAACAGAAAATAAAAAATTGGTACTTTTAGTCCTGGGGGAAAAACAAATTAAGAACCATCTTTTATTGTATTTATCCTTTGACTCAGTAAAAAGAGAAGAAATGTCATTTCTTTGCTATGGTTTTCTTGGCCATAAAATCTGGTTTTTATTTCACAAACAATACAAAATTTATTTTTTATCAAAAGGCTAAAATATTACAGTTAAGATACTCTCGCTCCTCTTTGACCCTCACCTCCCCGCCTGTTAGGGTTAATCCAAGTTATGAATTTGGTGTGAATCCTTTTAGACTTCTTTGCATCTGGCCACTGCAGTGGCACAGACTTCCTGAGATGCCTTGAACCAGACATTCTCCAGTCTTTGCCACAGGGCTCAGTATGCTGGCACACATCCTCAGAGCTGGCATTCTGCTGGCACGAGGCCTGGAGACAGCAGGGAGACACTGGGCCTGGGCATAGCCCTGCTCACACCTGTGGCCTTCCAGATGCCCAGGCCTCTGTCAGGAGCTTTAAGCCATATGGAGGTCTCACTCCTGTCTTCCTTTTAAGTTTTTAGCCAAGTTCTTGTTTGCTCCAGTAAGTCCTGCAGCCAAGGCAGCTGCAGGACCGAATGAATGCACTGATTAACTTTCAGAAAATGCCCCAGGGATTAGGCTTTTCCCACAGGGCAGCTCCCAGTCAGGTTAAACGGTAACACCCCACAAAAACGGCAGCACTACTCGGGGTGAGGCGTTTCTGAGACATGCCCAGCCCAGCAAGCTCCCTTCTTGGCTGGGGCTGCTGGTTCCCAGGCCTGCCATGTTGGCAGCTATGGGGTACTGCAGAGTGAGGTGAAGTGGGCTGAGTTAAAATGTCCCCAACCTGCTCTTATCAAGGTTCAGATTGCTGCAAACTTTCAGTTAATTCCTAGAGTTCTGAAGAAGTTGACTTTGGCCCTTTTATGCAGCATTTTTATTGATTTATGGAGAAGTGGATTTATGGAGGTCCTCAATCCACCATTCTGGAAGCTGCATTAACTAACGCCTGATGGGAACATTAGAAGAGAGAAAATCCATTCCACACCAGGACTTAGTGGGAGTCATCAACTGCAGGGACTCCAGCTCCGTCCCTGCTGACAGCTCCGGGCCACAGCAGGTCCTAGTCATCATGTCTTCCAAATACAATTTGGAGTTCCTGGATTTTGTGTAAAATACCCATGTTTTAAAATACTGACAACTGCTTCAATAAAAAAAAAATCAAAATATTCCATCTATAAGAACATGCCTGTGCTAAAGGATTATGGATTGAAACAGCATAGAAGTCTATGGAGCATATCACTGCTGTGTCAGTTTTTTCTAACCAGGTTAGCGGAGTTCAATTCAACAAATCTTTTTTAGCCCTGTGCCAGACCCATGCTGCACGCTGTGGTCAGAGTGAGACTAGCTCCCCATGTATACGCGCCTCCCTGTCTTCCGAGGCACTTAGTTTTAAGTAGCCTCAGGCAAAATATCCTGAGAGCTTTTAGGAAAGGGTCCTTGTACAGTCCCTCTGTTTAGAGAAGTATGCATGCCCTTGGCAGGGGCTCAGGGCTCAGGGGCCTGGGAAGGCTGGAAGGTGCGGCTGCACACAGACGTCCTGCTGGGGCTCGGGCCAGAGCCCTGACTTCTGATCTGAACAGAAGCACTGGAGGCAGCGCCCCACAGGGACTTACGGCCCAGTTTACCCACTTTAATCAAAGGGCACAACTCTGGTAGCTTTCTGAGAAAAGGTGCTGGCAGGACAAATTTTCAAGGTCTTGCATTTCTAAAAATATCTTCAAGACACCTTGCTTGCCTGAGGGGCACAGGTGAGACATGCTTCTCAAAGCCTTGGAGTATCCAGCACTGCCCATGAGACATCAACGTCTCCGTCACTCATGACTGTGTGTGTGACCAGCTTTTCTGAGTTGGGGGAGCTTCTGCTGGTCCTGGTGCCGCAGTCTCAGGATGGCATGCCTGAGCAGAAGCCCTCAAGTCCTTCCTTCCACTCTAGAAACTCAGGATTTTCACACTTTCCTGCCCTTCTGGAGTTCCTATTACTTGGATATTTTCATATGACTTGGATATTGGATGTCCTGGTCTGATCCTCGTTTTTTCCCTCATTTCTTTTTGTTCTATATTTTTTTCTTTTTCTTTTTTTGCAGCTTTTGTCCAGGGCTGAGTTTGAACCCTGGCATAAGGGGCCAGCGCCCTACTCCTTTGAGCCACAGGCGCCACCCCTTTTTGTTCTATTTTTTTGATTATTTGCTTATTTCAGCTTCTAGCCCCTATACTGAATTTTTAATTTTCAAACACATTTTCTCTCTCTTTAATAGTTCCTTTTCTATAGCATTCTATCCTTATTCAACAGATGCCCTATTTTTCCATCTCTCTAGAGATTTCATAGTTTTTTTCCTTGTTTTTAAGCTGCTCCTCCCTGTAGTATCTGATGCTTTAGGCTTTCCACTTGTGCTAGGAGCTTTCATCAGCTGTCAGTTACCCTGGGCTAAGCCGGGAGACCAACAAGAGGCCAGGGCACTGTGGACGACAGGGCTTCCCAATCTTGGCTGAACACCAATGATGCTCTGGCAATATGCATTTTATTGGTGTAGTGGGAATTTTAAAAAGCTCCCCAGGAGTTATTAATGTAGAACTACCACCTACAGACACTCACTGAAGTACCTCACTGAACATTTCAAGGTCTGTCTTTTCTTCAGGTGAGATTCTAAGATTCGCCCATAGCTTGTGTTCACAGAATTCAATTTCTGAGTCACCTTCATTCTCAACTGTGGGCAGTGTCTTTCAGTCCGAGGACTTTCTATTTTAACTGTCTTGAGTTTAAACGTTTAGGTTTCTGTGAAGGTGGGCCAAATTGTTCAGCTAAAAAAATAATGAGGGGGAGACTTTTGAGATCAAACTTTCTTTTTAAACAGCTTTCACCCACAGCAATTTCAGACAGCTTCCCCTTTTACCACCACTTCAAAAAAATACGCTGCTATCATTTTTGAGCCTTTAAGGTATTCTACATTGAGAGTAAAAACATTGAGTTGGTGCTCATGTTCCCCTCTGACAAATGAGAATTTGGCTTTTTTGGGTCAGGTTTCCAAGTTTCCTAAAAACTTCTTTTTATTCTTCCCAGTCTCCCCCCCACCCCCCAGGGTAACAAAGAGAGATTTTATTTAAGAAGAATACAGAGAAAGTTTAGAGCACTTCCCCAGAGAGTTGGCAGTGGGTCCCTCTCATGAAGGGAAAATGTGAGAGAGACCCATTCTTCCCAGTCTTGAGGGAAGTTGTGACTTAAAAAAAAAAATAAGAAAATGCTGGCAGTGATCTACGATCATGCCACTGCACTCCATCTTGGATAACAGAGTGAGACCCCATCTCTTAAAAATTTTTTTCTTTACTATATCACGTCAGGAGTGTGCAAAATTTGACATGTGCTCAACTTATCATCTTTACCCAGAAGAATGACTACCATTCTCGATACAAGAAAGCAAGGTGTCAGAAGGTACAGTTTTTGTACACATTTCTCCCCATGAAATGAAAACAACAGGAGGGATTTCTAGCAAGACGGCCTAACAAAACCATGGCCATTAGCAGATACTAGCCCTCATTGCTGTTGTTGTTGTTGTTGTTGAATGAGACCCCCACAGAGGAGGAGGTGATCAAAACTGTGTTTACAGTGGACAGGTGGACTCCGGAGCCCTGGCACAGACACACGTCAGCACAGGGGCACGTTGCCCGCGCAGCCCTCACACCGCCTATGCAGTCGTGGTGGGATGTAGACTTCCAGAGTCTTTGGAAATACCAGCACATGTGATTGTGGCTGGCAGTCCCGAGACCTCAGCCTGCAGGAGCTGAGCGGCAGCTGATTCCCAGGTGGCTCAGCTAGCCCATGAGCTGCGTCTCCCGCCTGGTTGGTAAAGCCACTTGGATTAATTTCTGGGGAATGTAGTTTAGGTGCTTAAAAAGCAACAACAACAACAAAAGCAATCCTCTTCTTGGCAGAAAAACCCTACTTAAGTCAGAAAGAATTAAAACATTTATTGGGCATAAATATATTACATATACACTACAGATACAGTTAGGTATTACATATAGCATAGTATTTGCAAAATCTATACATTAAAATTGATATGGCAGCTTTAATACAATGTATATGAAATAGTCTAAAATTTACAATACAGGAAAACATATGATTATTTCTTTTTTTCTCCTAAAGTTGAAAAGCTTGGAATGTATGTCCAACAGTGAGGTAAAGACATTTTTGTCTTTCATTTTAAAGGATTGTGCAAGGACAACATTCAAACACATTCGATTAGGGCACTTCTCAATTTTGACATGAATACTGAATCACTGTAGCCAACAAAACAAGGTTAGAAAAATGCCAACGTTTCAAGTTGATAAGAACAAGGCAGATAATATGAAAAAAAAATCTTCTAAAAAAGTTTTCTTTTTAAACAATTTCTTTGAGGACAAAGGGCAGTTTGCTCCAGGTGCCTGGACTTTCTCCTGTCAGGGCTGAGTCTGACACACAGAGAAGAGTCAGGGCACCAAGCTGCTCACTCTCTGCAGCTGTCCGCGCACAGCCAGTGGCAAAGGGATCAGGCTAATGTAACACTTTATTTTACTGTTCATGTGTAATGGCAATGACCATAGCTATATGCCAAAGTCACACAGACACACTGAGATAGAAAACAGTCCACAGAAAGTAACAATTTTCTGACTGAAGGGCTATAAATGAAACCAAGTAACAGAGAGCAATAAAATAAAGTGCCGCTGTGTGTGTCTTAGACACTTCAGCTTTCTGGTGGCAAAGCAGACAGTATGAAAGTCTAAAAAAGATCCAACACTCATAACAATTTTGACTTAGAGTACTATTCATTTTTAAAAATCGAACCAATTCCGAGAATTTCTTTATAGCAGCAGTTCTGAAGTGTTTTTTTTTTTTTTTTAAAAAAAGACTCCCCCCTGCCCTCGAAGAGGGTTTTGTACTTAGATGAATTTTCATTGCTTAAAAAAATACCTTCTCCCCAAAACACCTGCATGGAATCATCTCAGAAAATGCAGATGCAACATCACGGTGGGCGTATCACACATTTAAATAGAGGGATGACTTGTGGAAGGCCAGAACTTTGGCAAAAATATATTTCCTTGATGTCATCAGTTTGCAAGGCTAATTAAGCTACTTACTATAGTCAATAATAAAATACAAAACTCTCTAGTACTTACTACACCAATATAGGCACACAGAATAATTCATTGATCTTAGCACTTTCTTTCAGGAGATGATTATGGTTTTGGGTACATGTAAACGTTTCAATCATGGATAATGCTTTTTTTCTTTTTTTGGCATTTAATGCACTAGATGCTCTTATCTTTTAAAAACACAAGAAAATGTCAGAAGATTAATAATACTACAGATGTTGCCAAGGAACAAGACTGACCTAAAATTACAAAAGTATAAAACATACACACAAAAAATAACATGCTATAAGGGAAAATTAGTACATTAAGTACATTTAAAAAATTTTACAATAAATAAAGATTGCACTGTAATTGGCATTTAAAGTACTGTATGCAGAATATAGTATAAATAAACCAGAAACAAAATAATGTTGGTTTCCCCATGACTTTGGTATGGGAATATCATAAGCTAGTACAGGATGCTGCATCTCAGCCAACACAGACCAAGCACAAAGTAGCTATGATTGAGAAAAACCAGGAGCAAAAATATACAAAAACAGAAGCGGGGGATACACTGTGTCTGTTGCACCCTTTTGGAATATATTTGCACCTCCAACTCTTCTATGTCCCTGAGGTACTCAAGCGTTATGGACTTCATAAAAATCATCCAATGACTTTGGGTTAAAATTGATTATCTCATGACTCACAATAAACATGCAAGAGTAACACTTTGCACTCCAATAGCACCTGTTGATCAAAGATCTCAAAGCACTTACAAACATTAGAATCCCCATTTTAATTTTATTTTATTTTTCATGCATGGGAAAACTGAGGCACAGAGAGGTAAAGTGACGTGTTCAGGTCACGCAGCAAGTCAGCGACAGATCCAGGGAGAGAATCTAGGCTCCTTGACCCCCAAACACCCTGTGCTTACCGCCAAATACCATCCCCTCTCCAACTGTGGCCAGGCAAACCTACAGAAATAGGAACTACAAGATGACTCTTTAGGGTTTTACCAATTTCCATCTGCTGTTACATCAGTATTATGGGCACTGAATTAAGGTATTGAAATTCCATCTCTTCATTGATACCTCCAAGAACAGCCGAAAGGCAAATCTGTCAAAAATAATGAGCTGACACCTAAGAAGATTGCTCACAATTAGTGTAAATCACGGACAGTGGGCAGAGGCACTAAACTGTCACCAGTTCTTGTCATATTGTTCTGGTCAAACATAACAGAATATAATAACTCTAGTGATTAGATTAGAAATAGTTATATACAAAGAGAAACAAGTTAAAGCAGCTTTTAAAATAGCTGGACAAGGAACAACTAACTATTGCACAATGCCCTCTTAAAGTTACTGCTGTGGATTGATGTGGTAAAATCTACAATGCTCCATAATTTATAGGTGCATTTTGGTGACTTGATTTCTTATACAGGCAGCTCATTAGTGTTAAAATCATAAGAAATACAGAGTATTAAAACATTTGAGATTGAAGTACAGATTTTGATTTAAATGAGCTAAACACAGCCAACTAACTGAGTAACAAAATGGTTGTTGAGGGCGATCTTATCCGAGTAGGCCCACCCCTGCGTGACGCTGCTGTGTGCTAATGCTCTGGGGCCGAGACCCTTGCCCTGCAACTCCACACACTGTGATTCATGTTTGCAGATACAGATGATCAACATGTAACAAGTGACTGGAGATATAAATTACTAAACTGTAACATAAAAAAAAAATTGAAGGCTTGCAAAAGACATCAGTGGAAACAGAATACAGGCAAATATGAAAATTTAAGAGAAACATAAGAGAGCTAGCTTTTGGTATCTGGTTTGCTTTTCTCCTCTTTTTTTTTTTTTGTTTAAATCCAGTTTAACCTCTTTCTAGTTTTGCATTTCAGAAAAGTGCACCCAAACACTGACATTTATTTTCCTAGCTACATCTGCAAAACAAGAGTATATAAATCAAAGAACAAAAAGGCTTAAAAAGGGAGTATCTGAATAAATGTGTGTATTAAAACGTGTAGCATTAATTAAATTCATACCTCTAGTTTTGTTGGGTTTACTTCATTAAGAAGTACTGTAATATAAAGGCAAATACAATGGATAAAGTTGCAAAGCCAAGCACAATGAGGGCTGCAAACTGTTCATCAGTAGGCATCATGCTCTTCATTTTGGGGTCATCTAAGCTCCCCATGTCCCCTGTAAGCATGACCTCACTTGGCTGCAGCACGAAAGCTGTGGAGGGGCTGAAAGCTCCACTGAGCTCCTGAGAGGTGTCTAGACAGCGGCGACACGCGCACACACGGAACCGATACTCGGTGCTGGTCTGCAGGCCGGAGATGTGGAAGGCGGCTTCTTCTCCCTTGTATACCTTCAAGAGAAGGAAAGCCCGGGTTAATTAAATCATGCAGCAAAGTGGCTGCCTGTAACATCGGGGGCCTGTGATGTTAGTCACTACATTAGTCACTACATTAGCTTCATAACAATGCAAACTATTATATAAAAAGTATTTCTTGCAATCCATACTTCATCCATAAAAAAGGTATCCCGACATCTTTGAATAAAATAAAACATAAAATCCAATGACTCTGACTTTGACAGAAGGAGATAAAGCACTGACTGGAAATGCAGTTGACATTTTAGGTAATAAAGATCCATCTTGCTAAATTTTAATAATTTAGGCTACAAACCAGAAGATACCTTAAAAAAAGAGCTTTATGCTTTTGCCCCCCCTCAACAATCTAACATTTTAAAATGGAAATAACTAAATTAATTAATTAAGGATACAATAAAAGAAAAAAGAAAGGATACAATAAAATGCAAAGTTTTCATAAAAGAGTAGATTTGAAATCTTTCCTAACACAAAGAAATGATAAATACTGGATGTGATTTTAATTAATTCACATTGTATGCCTGTATCAAAACATCACATGTACTCTATAAATATATGCAATTATAAATGTGGCCATAATAATTAAAAATAAAAAATTTCTTTGGAAAGGCAAAGTTTTCAGCTGGCTATTTTTTGACAACATTATACACAATGTCAGTGCAGACCCTCAAGACACCTCACCGTCACCCAGTGTTGCCCGTTCTAGAAGTTCACAGAAATGGAATCATGCCGCATGCTCTACTCCCTGCACCCGCAAGACCCATCCAGGTCCCTGAGTCACTGCTACTGACCACTGCAGGACTATACCTCAATTTATCCATTTTCTTTTTGACGAATATGTAGATTATTTTCAATTTGGATGTTTTGTACAGTAAGAATGCTATGAAGCTTTTTATTCAAATGTTTGGGGACTTAAGTTTTTATTTCTCATGGGCAAATGCCAAGGAGTACAAGGGCTGGGTCACAGCTCTATTCACCGTCAGGAGAAACAGTTTTCCCCAGAGACTGTATCACCTTGCACTTCCACACGTGGGGCAGGAGCGGCCACGCTGCTCCACACCCTCAGGAGGCGCTACCTGTCTCGTGCACATCACCTGTTCAGGTGGGTCTGAGAAGTGTTCTCCACCATATTTCCCTGATGCCTAATGATGTTATAAATACCTTCATGTGCTTATTGGTCATTTATATACCTTCTTTTGTGAAGAGTATGTACAAATTTTTGCCTACTCTTAATTAAATTCATTCATTTGTAGGGGCTCTATATAAAATCTGGACCTAAGTTCTGTGACAGATACATGTATTGCAAATATTTCTACCAGTTTGGTGGCTTTGCCTAATTGTTTTCTTGAGGAATTTTTTTGATGCAGCCCAATGTATCACAACTTCATAATTAAAGAATTTAGTGGTCTGTCTTGAGTGTTTCATCTCTACATCGGCCTTGTTTCATTAAGGATCTGGGATGTTTTCTCCCTCTGGGTTAACCCTGATACAATCAAGAGGCTTACTATTACATGGTCTTGAAAACTTCCACACTGGTCTTCAGCATCATGACACTTGAGTTGACTGAAGCTAGCAGGAGGCCTCAAAGGTTCTTCTAACAAAGTGATACTGACTCTCAAAAAACTTAGAGGAAATAGTGATCAGATTAAAATTACATAAAAAATCTGTGGTTTACATGAAAGTCAATGAATATACGTAGGGAAAATATAGCTGAAACTAAGCTAAGTCAATAAGAGATTTGGCTGAAGAATAATTAAAAAGAAAATAAAATTAACTGAGTCATTTCTAGCTGAGCAGCACAGTGTTAGTAGCTGTGAAGTACACAGAATGCGCCTGGCGCACAGTGAGAGGTAGCTGCTGTTACTGCTATCTACAACTTAAAAATGACCTACCAACAGGCTTCCTCAATACAGCAGTCAATTTTGTCAAGTATCTTTTCCGTATCTTACTAATTATATGGTCTTTGTCCTTCATTTTGTTAATAAGTATCATATTTGTTGATTCACATACTTTGAACCATCCTCATAAACCCGGGATAAATGCCACTTGATCACCCTGGATGATCCTTTTATGTGCTGACAAATTGGGTTTGCTGGTATTATGGTGAGGATTTCTGCATGTGTGTCATATCAAGGATATTGGCCTATAATGTTCTGTTCTTGTCTCCCTTTAGTATCAAGGTAATGCTGGCCTCACAAAAGGAGTTTTCCCTCCTCTTTGATTTTTGGAAGAGTTTGAAAAGGACTGGTACAGGGGCCATTACAGAAGTTTTGAGTTACACAGAAATCCACATGCTAAGTTGCCCATGGGCTGAAATGAAGCCCTCTCAGCAACACTGAGAAGCTGAGAAAGCTGAAACTTGCACAGGTGAATCAGCAAGCACTCTGTCGACTCTGTTTCTTGGAATTGAAATAATGGAACATAACACACTGTAAGTGACTTATGTGTTAGTTCTTTAAATGACTGGTAGAATTTAGCCAGAAAGTCATCAGATTCTAGAGTTGTCCTCCACAGAAGAGCTTTTATCACTGAGTTAATCTCCCTACTCATTGGTCTGGTTAGATTTTCTATTCCAGTCTTGATAGCTTGTATCTAGGAATTTATCAATTTCTTTTAGGTTATCCAATATGTATATCTGGCGTATAATTGTTCGTAATAGTTTCTAATGATCCTTTCTATTACCCTGGTATGAACTATAATCTCTCATTTCTGATTCTAGCTAAAGTTTTAAAAAAAAAATATGAACTATAATCTCTCATTTCTGATTCTAGCTAAAGTTTAAAAAAAAAAAAACAACTTAGCTTCAAAGTTGACATTTTGTAGTTTTTCTAGTCAAAGTTTATTTCTGCTCTCATCTTCATTATTTCCTTCTTTCTGCCATATTCCGGCTTAGTTTGTTCTTTTCTAGTTTCCTGAGTATAACCTTAGGTTGACTGAGATTATTCTTTTTAGATGTGTTTATTGTTATAAACTTAGATCTCAGTTTTAGAATTGCTTTTTGTTGCATCCTATACATTTTAGTATGCTGTGTTTGTTTTCATTTGTTTCAAAAATATTTACTTTCCCTTTTATTTCTTTATTGATCCATTAGTTGTTCAGGAACATGTTACTTAATTTCCATATATTTATGACTTTTCCAAAATTCCTCCTGGTACGGATTTCTGTAATTGTTTTGTAACATTGTGGTCAGAACAGATATAATTTCAATCTTGAATTTGCGGAGACTGGTTTTGTGTTCTAACATGTGACCTCTCCTGAAGAACACTCCGTGTGCACCTGGGAAGAATGTGTGTTCTTCTGTCGTTGAGTAGAAAGTCTGGTAGGTGTACTTGTCTGAATTTCAGTCAAGTCCAATGTTTCTGCCTTCATTTTATGTTTGGATGATTTGCCCATTATTTACAGTGGGGGATGAAAGTTTTCCACTACGATTGTGCTGCCATCTACCTTTTCCTTTAGATCCTTTACTATTCGTTCTAGACAGCTAGGTGCTCCAGTGTTGGGTGAATATGTATAATTGTCATATACTCTTGACTCACTGTTTCTCTTAGTGTTATATAATGCCGTTCTGTCTCTTTTTAGTTTGTGACTTAGTTTGTGCTGTCTGATAGAAGTAAAGCTATCCTTGTTCTCCTTTGGTTTCTATTTGTGTGAATATCCTTTTCCATCCCTTTACTTTCATTCTTTGTGTGTCCTTAAAAGTGATGTGACTCCTGGAGACAGCATATAGGAGGGTCTTGTTTTCTTTCTTTTAAATCCATTCAGTCACATTGTGTCTTCTAACTGGAAAATTTATCTAAATAATTATGTCCATTAATACAAATACCTTAGAAACCAAAAAGTATTTCAAACAAACTCAACCTTGTCTGAAATACTCACCAGCTAGCTATTCTGAGTAACTAGGCTCTACAAATGTCTTTACATATATCCCAAACCTGGTGTGTAAACTTCCACCAAGAAGCAAGTGCACAGGACACACATTTGGTGTGGGGCAAGCTGAAAGACAACAAATGCATCTTATAGTCTAGAAAGAGGACCAGACTTCCAATGCTTGTTTGATATTTAGCCTTTTTAAGATTTTCCTCCTTCAATTTTCAAACTTTACAAGTAGATTTCAATTGTCTTATTTATTGTACTTTTGTTTGGTGACTAAGCTCCAAAAGCCCAATTTTGTTTCTTTCTTACATTTTTCCAGATATTATTTCTCCATAAATTACTTCTTAATATCTGGGAGAACTCAGGAAAACAATGGTGTATTTTTACTTTTCTTAGACATAGGGTGCTGTTCTGTCTCCCAGACTGGAGCACAATTACATGATCACAGCTCACTGTAACCTCAAAATGCTAGGTTTAAGTGATTCTCTTGCCTCAGCCTCCCAAAGTACTAAGATTATAGGTGAAACCACTGTACCCCACCCCATTTTTCTTTCCTTTAAAGAGATCTTTTAAATTGTGAATTTTCTTTACTTTGCCAATTTAGATTTCTTGAATCTAAAACACTCAAGTTTGAATTTTCTAGAAGGGATAAGTCTTTCTTTGGAGCCTGTTCACAAAGGAAATGTGTGTAACCCCTGGGACCAGTACACCAGCTTCATCAAGGTTCCACCTGCCATCTGAGCCTTGGTTTTCCTCCCTATAATGTCATAGGTATACAATTTATTCTGATATTCTACAATGGTGATAGGTTAGTGATGGGATATTTATCAGGTTAGAGAAAAGCTGCTACCGAGGCCCTAGCCGCATGGTTTCAGATCAATTTCCCTCATTGATTATTTTAGAGGTGACACCTCTTGAAATATTTGTTTATACTTATCAAAGGGTGAGAGAGGACAGTGTTAGACAGGATAGTGTTAGTCCTTTTGTTCCTCCATGGAACCCTGAGAAGTGTGTCTGCTGTGACTGGGCCAGTGGGAGATCCTGGCAGAGTCTTCTCAAGCACAGGAACTGGACTCAAGATCTAGGGTCTAGATCCTTGGTCTAGG